CCACACCAAACAACATTTTCCTTGGTTCGATAAATTTGAACATTCCTCTTCCGACACAGCAGCTAAACGATCGCCAGAGTCAGATTGCAGTATTTAAAGGTTATGTAGAACAAGACGTGCCTTGCAGATAAATGACTAACTTTGGTTAAATTATTGTGCATATAAAATTCCATTTCTATGCTCTGGGATTTTTATTGATCTTTCCAGGCAAAAAAAAAAAAAATCCGTCAAATTGTATTCAAATGCAGCACCTTCCTAGGAAACGGTCTACTGTTAGAGTGTACAGATAGATGAATGGAGTGTTTCACACAACGCACACCAGGCTGTGTAACAGTAGCAGATTAAGTAATGGAGTACTGCTACTTTCTCCAGTCAGGCTTTCTATTGTATAATTTAAAGTTAGACTAATTCAACTTGACTGTGTCTTACAGATTTTTAGTTTTGACAAAATGAGTTTCTTTTAGACTAGATAGCGGTGCAAGCTTATCTCTGAGGCCGCATTTGTTCCTAAAGGTGTTTAACACTTATTTAATCCACACATCTTCAGTGGTCTCTAGTAGGAATGGATGCCTTGTAAGTCATTCTCTGGAGGGAAAAACCATTAGTACAGCATTTTTAGGACTAGAGGTGACCCACATCACATCTCAGCTTTAGATGGCAGGTTTTGAACTCTTATTCCCTGATATGCAGTGGTCTCGCCTCTGATTGACTAACAGCAACACAAGTCTACTACTGACTCTGTTTGCTCTGCAACGTTGATGTTTTATCTCCACAAATAACACAAGCCTGGAGGTTCTGGAGTTCTACTGTGTGGTAAAGTTGCTAATGCTAACAGTTAGCTTCTACTAGCAGAGACATTCTCTGCTGTTTCCTGGACGCTAAACCAACAACAGCCTTTGCCAGATGGGTGAGTCCATGAATGTTAGTGACAGTGTGACGTGGATCTGTCAGGCTTTTCTAATCCTAGAGTTTCACCGTCTGTTTTCTATCAGAAGCTACTGCAGGAGATAGGTGTAGGAGACTATTCTCATGTTCAGCCTGCATGAAACACTGAATGTCCCATTAGAATCAGAAGTGATCATTAAAACATGTTTTTTCAGAGTTTTATACCTTTAAGGTAAGTTATTCTTTAGAAGAGGAGGTTTACTGACTAGCATATAACACTTGTTCATTTTGAAATACGATTGATCACGTAGAGTTTCACATGCAGGTTTTTCTTTCCACTGTCACCACGTGCTTGCTTAGTGTGAGGACTGCTATAAAAATCTCTGACACATCTGCTGGCTTTTCTTACACAGACAACTAATGGCATAATGAATAGAACTCAGTGCACTGATCAGTAGGTTTAGGTTTACTTTGCAAAGCAAACTTTTACTTCGTGAAACAGGAGCAACAGTATTTTTACCACAGAGAGCGACTCACAAGGCATTGGTTTGTACCAACAGCACGTGTAATGAAATAATTACTGATGAATACTTGACATGGAAACCCCATAATAGTTACATAAAATGTACAATTGCCAAATCCTTAGGAGTATTACACAGAGTCAAGTTTTTACTGACTAATTCTGGTTTGTTGGCATTGTACAATTCACCGATTGTTCCATACTTGACTTATTGTGTAGAAGTCTGGGGAGCAACATACAAAAACTATACACAATCCTTATTTATTCTACAGAAAAGAGCTCTGAGAATCATCAATTATAGTGGCTGTAGAGATCCATCAAACCCATTGTTTATTAAATATAAATTACTGAAATGATTTAAAAGACTGGAAAATCTTACAAACCATGTATAAAGCCAGTTTAGGTACTCTGCCAACAAACATTCAGGGGATGTTTGAAAAGAGAACAAGTAATTACATGCTGAAAGAAACTGATGTGTTTACAAAACCTAGATTTAGAACTAAAATTATGGAGTGGAATATATCTGTAAATGGTGTTAAATTATGGAATAAACTTAAAAGGGAAATAAAAAAAAGCTGCCATTTAATAAATTCAAAAAATGTACCAAATTGAGTGTACTAAATAATTATGAAAATGTAAATTAAATCAATGATCATGATCGCACTGGAATTTAGAACAGGAAAAAGTTTAAAATGAATCTGTATGTGTGTGTCTGACAAATGGAAATTGTATAAACATAGATTATTTCTTCTGGAAAAGGGGGCAGAAATTATCAGATGTTTTTCTTCATTCTGCTCCTTTTCGTTCAAATTTGATTTTTTGTTGTTATTTATATCTTATTGTTTATATGTTTTATTTGTTTTTATTTTGAATGGAATAAACAAATAAAAAAAATGTTGGCCGCCGTTAAACCATTCAGCTGTTCAAGTTGTAGATTTCCTACTAAACCCATGCAATTTCACAAGTTAAACGTGATGCACCACTTTATGGTTTTACGCCTTTGCAATATTCTAAGAAAAGTAGGATAAAACTAGGCTAATTATTTATTCATCATTCCAGGTGGTGTTAGAAACCTGATGAGTGAGTGAGTGAGTGTGGAAAACACGAGCTGGACGACAGAAATGACATGCAAAAGCTATTTTTTCCCTTTATCAGGTGCATGCAGTTTTTTGACACATTGAATTATGTCCTTACAGTCCCATTACATAAAACATGCTATTTCTGTCAATGATGATGTCTACACAAATCTGAACTGACACGAGACGCTGAACGTCTTTCCTCTGGCGGCGTTCTGCCTATGAGCATATTTGTTCTCATTTGGGTTTGTGCTCCTACTGGGAGCACCAGCTGGATGCAGTGATTTGATATTTATTTATTTATTTGTGTAAAATGGACTTCTTGTAACCGATTTCACAATTTATGGTACATTTTTGCAACTTTTTCCCAGGGAGATCTTTTCAGAAGTTCTCTGGAGAAATTTGCACCCCTATTCTGAGAAACCACAGAGGCTCCCCGCTCTGCAGACAGCAGCTCTTTTTCATTCTGCTTCTATATTGTTGTTATTAGCATTTTATCAATTATGCAATGAGAAAAAAGGTCAGATTTATGTGGAAATTGATTACCTTTTAAGTCCCTCCTTCAGAGCTGCCATTGTCTCCCTCTGTGATGGATCATCTAGACCTAAAAAAGTTAGAATTCAAAAATTGCATTCAGTTTGCTCATCATTAAAAATGAAGCAATAATTACCATCACTCTGGCTCCATGTGCAACTTTGAAGTAATAAAGTTCCAAATTCAAATCTCAGCATAAACAACTAAAATATGGAGAAATCAAATGTCAGGGTAGATTTAGGAATGCTTCCCTGGCTTTTATGACGGTCGCTGATGGAAAAAAGTCACCAGTCCAGCTTTGTTTCTCTCCATCATTTACTGGCTGCCGCTTCCAATTCTCTCTTTTTACATTTGTCTCCATGGGACTTTCTCCAGACACACCTTAGAGACAAAGATTACATTAAAACTCATTTTAAACACAGCAGTGCCTACCTAGAAAAACACACACACACACACACACACACACACACACACACACACACACACACACACACACACACACACACACACACACACACAGACGGCATGTGTTGTATGTTGAGCCAGGACTCCATGGTGATACTTTACAGCTCTTCCCAAGTTCCTGCTTAAAAGCTGCAATGAGCCTGTTGTGGTACTGACTGTGGTACGACAGAGACAATAGTGTAGATGATTGGATTTGGGTAAAAACCCAAAGCAAAACAAAAACCTCAAGATTGTGAGCTGAACAAATGAGACGGTCGAGCATCTCTGCTGCTGCAGCAACACTGTGTAAGACCCCTGATCAAGAAAAGTAATTTTCCTCTTTCACTTTGTTTTGTCCTACAAACATTTTTACTTGTGCAAATAAAAACATTTTAGCAAATAAAACATACATTTTCTGCTTCTCTTTATTTTACGAGCACAACTTTTTTTCCAGACATGCTTGACATCTAAGATGTACGAACAAATCGGCCAAATGCACTGTGCAAATGAATGCTTATTGATATTTTAGACCAGGTGTGTCAAACTTGATTTCATGTTGGGTTAAATAAATAAAAAATTGTGGTCCAAGCAGGAAATCTTACATTTCCCATGTTTTATTGGATGTCTCAAGTCAAAATACTTGTTGTTTGGAGGTGAAAGCTGAGCGCCGTCAATAAAAAGTTGTTTTCTTCTTCCCTCAAACCTCAGAGATTTATTTGTTAGTTTTGGTTTAGGTTTCGGCATAACGAAGGTTTTGGTGACAGTAAAAATAATGTTTACAGACACCTAATAAACAGCCCCTTAAGTCTAAATCAACAAATTTCAGTTTCTTTGTATCATAGTAAAGATTTCAGCCAATGACATTGTAGTTTAAAGGTGCAATAAGTAAAAATATGCAGAGAAAAAATCACAAAACAGTTTATTGTCTCAATCATGCTGGAGGGAAGGTTACATTGAAACAGTTTTTCTCATATTAAAAAGGCGGAGGAGGAACAACATATTTGGTTATGATCTGGGAGCCTGCAAGGTTGCAAGTCTGATCTGGGAAACTCTGCCGCGTCGGCATTTGTATTTTGACATTTTGTTGGTAAAATGCAGCAGCAGTGTGGAAAGAACTGAAGATAGTAAAAGGAGCGACCCAGAAGTTAAACATCTTTTAGCTTTATGCTAATATTGGCTAAAGAAGGCAAAAGGCTAACATTGAGCTAACAATGCTAACGGTGAATTAGGACCAAATAAGATGTAAAGCTACTTTCTGCAGTTACCAACAACTTGACATTATATTGAATCATATTTTTTAACTTACTGTGTTTGACTCGTCGTTGCTTTTCATCCAGAGTCTGAGGGAAGACTCGTTTGTTTTGACACTGCAGTACCCAAACTTGACCACAGGATGGCTTTCTTACTTTATGCACCTTTAATCATTTTAATCCATCTTCTAGTTCTACTGTCTTGATGGTAAAGGTGTGAACCTGAAACTGGTGACCATGTTGTCATGAAAACAGCTTCATGTTTTGTTTCATGTGACTTTTCACACCCAGGTTAACTGGAATGAATATCCCAGCTCCCATCATCAGCAACAAAAACTGGCTCCGGCTGCATTTTGTAACGGAGAGCAACCACCGCCACAAAGGCTTCAGGGCTCAGTATCAAGGTAAGGCGCTTCATTTGCACGACATAATGAAAGACCCTCCGACTTGAACCAAAGGATCACAAGAGAAGTACACTGAAGGCTAATTACAAAGCATGTTTTGATCTTTAATAACTGAATATTCAACATTTTGATTAATGCCCTCCGTAAAGGGAATTAAGGATTTTTGCTGCTTCAGTTCAAGACCTTGTTATTCTATGTGTTAGCCAACTGACTTAACTTTAGCCTTTAGAGCTCCGTGAGCTCAGCAGTCCATCACCGGTGTGGTTTTACGCTGGTGTTGGTGCTGTCTATAGTCGTTTCAGAGTTCGGCCAGAATCCAGACACGAAACCTTAAAACATTTCAGAAACGTCTCTAAAAACCTCCCAGCTGATCCTTTGTAGACTCTGGGCTAATTACATAAAATAAAAAATAAAGCTGCCTCTCAGCCCTTGCTGCACATTGCTTTTGCTCTGGTGAAGTCATTTTTCAACGTCAGCATAGATGATCAGATTTTCAAGCAAATTGCAGTATTATTGTGTTGTATGCTTTAGAGCTGAAAGGGAAAATAAATCTCTTCATTGTTGTTAAGTGGACTCCTAACTGTGTGTAAAAGAGCTCGACAGAATCAGCTGACTGTGAGTGCAAAGGTCCAGCTCTTTCAGATCAGGATCCCTTTTGCTTTGGCTGGACGCAGCGTTTATAGCTGTTGGCTCTTCTGTCGATGATGACATCCACTTGCATCACTTGGCTTTTGTCTGTAATCCGGCCCTTGCTGTGTTTGATTAGACCTTATTAAGACATGTGGAGCAGCAGTCCTTGGGATGCTCGTTCAATCTGCATGGCATTTCCCTCAACCCACCCAGGCTGCCTAGACCAATAAACTCCCATCCACCGTTCAAACGGCCAAGCAAACCATAGAAAGATATGAATCACCAGGGTTTTCTATGTAGTCCTGCCAAAGCGACTTGAGAGAAAGAAACATTTGTACTGTATCTTCTCACATCTAATACTGTAACTTGTTTATTCTAATAAACTCTTCCCATTGCTTTCGACCAGTGAAAAGCTCTGGAGAGCTTAAATCCAGAGGGGTAAAATTATTACCAGGAAAGGACAACACTAACAAACTGTCTTTGAGTAAGTGTTTTATTTTTATTATGCAACTGTTTTTATTGTTTATCCTTTTGTTTGTGTAAGGGTTGCGTTCTGGGTCTTTGTTTCTTTCTGTCTCTTCCTTTGCTGCATCTTTTGGTGAAGAAATGAAGCTACAGTACTAGATTTTGCAGAAGTGCAGTCTCTTTTTCTTTCTGATGTCCCATTTCCCCCCCGCTGCCTGTCACCCACTTCCTGTCTTAACAGAAACAAACTGCTAAATTAGACCTAGCTGTGTATGTTGCAGCTGTGAGACGTATCTGACAAGTTCGACTCAACTCGCTCCGTCTAACTCACTACGACCTACGTGTGAGGGACACGCGCGGCGCTAGCCAAGGTTGAGTGACCGCTTACTGGCCGGGTGATTTGTGTACACTTCAAACTAAACAGAAAGCATTCTAATAGCTTGGGGAGCTTTGTCATTACCATAAATCTGGAGCACAATTCCCTTTAGCTCAGCAGAGTGCTAAAGACTCAGATGATAACAGGTTGTAATCTTTATTACCATATGCCTCATAGATCCAGCACTCCATGGAAGCATGAATAATACAGAGGGCTGTAATCTTCTCCATGACACAATGCTGTATATCATTAAAACACGTTGAAGAAATGCTTCAGACGCTTTGAGGATTTATTGCCTATAATTGAGCCCATAACTGCATTATACCTCACAAAACCGAGGTTCAAAGATTATGAACTTTCTGAAAGAAGTCAACAAGAAAACACGTGGATGAAGCTTCTCGCCTCAAAACAGGAAGTTCTCTGTGGAGCTTCAAGATGAAGATGTGACGCCATGTCCGAATTTAGAGGAGTAGGGTTGTCAGTGGTCAGAACACAAACTATTATCAGAAACGCTGTTTTTTGTCTTAGCCACCTGTCCACCTTTCCATCGTACGGCAAAGCTCGATACAGACAAAGTCTCCGAGGCTTTATCTAGTCAACAAAATTATTACTATAAATGAAAAGTCTGCCCGATTTTTGTTGCTCCCCCGATCAATAACTCAAGGTTAATTAATCCCCCGTAGGCCCAAGTAGATTTTTCTTTGTTAGCTCAAGTAAGTGTTTCATTTAAACTTGGCTCCATCCCCAAAGGTGTGTGAATTCACCACCGCGCCGCCAAAGCTCAGCCAGTTCTCTTACATTTGCAGAAGAGGTCAGCTTATTTTCACTGATTGAACCCAACATGACTTTTTAACCCGTGTACTGCTCATGTGATTTTAGTGGGAGTGGATTGTTTTCTGAAATCTAGCTTTTTGACATGCCAGAGTGGCTCACTCGCAGCGTTTTTTGGTTTTCTGTGTGCTCAGTGAACGAAGGGGGCATCAAACAGGTGTCTAATTACTGCCCCGACCCAGGGGAGCCGGAGAATGGCAAACGGATTGGTTCTGACTTCAGGTTAGTGGATGCTTTTTACCTGAAGCAAATTATCCCAGATTGGTGTGCAGGGAGAGCAGTGACACATGCGCTCCAACCAGAGATGCTATTAGCAGGACCGTTTCCAGGTTTGGGCTAATCAGGGGAAGAGATGATGAAACTTTTCTATTTCCTATCATAAGTTGGATGTTTGAACTTTCTGCCATCTTTGCTACACAATATTAAATCCTGAGTTGTCACTCATTTATGTAACTGATTTTAATGATCAAAGCCCATTTAGGAAACATATTCTTACACACACACACACACACACACACACACACACACACACACACACACACACACACACACACACACACACACACACACACACACACACACACACACACACACACTAAACCTACAAATGGCTACTAGGATTTAAAGAGCCATTGCACACCGACTGTGTCATGTATGACTGACATAAAAAAAGATTTTGATATTTCATCAGGAGTCATCTTTAAAAAATGGATTGCTTTTTTGGGGGGGCGCTAATGGTATTTGTTATCTTCTCAGCATCGGAGCAACTGCTCAATTTACCTGTGATGAGGACCATGTGCTGCAGGGTTCCAAAACGATTACCTGCCAGCGCGTAGCCGAAGTCTTCGCAGCTTGGAGCGACCACAGGCCTGTCTGCAAGGGTGAGTGTGGCTTTGAAAGGAGCTAATAAAACAGTTTGATTAAGGCAGTGCCTCTGGATGTATGCAGATAGAGGAAAGTTCATTTCTGTTAATTATGCATGAAAGCCTCTGCTGCCACCCCCGTGTTTCTGTGTTTCATAATACCTGGAGCACCTTTTAGAATTTGATTAATGGAAATACAGCTAATAGACCTTCTCTCTCTGCTTGTGCAAACAATACATTACCACTCAATCATATTACAACGCAGAAGTTATTACTCACCGATGTCTTCAATATGTATAGTGTGTAAGAAAGGGGCTTTGGTGGCTACGGTGTGGTCCGGAGGATTAGAGATTCTCCAGATTTTATCTGTGCAAATAAAGCGAGATCTACACATTTTCTGGTATAAATGCTGCATGAATGCTTTATACTTAAGAGTCTCTTAAGTGGTTCCTTTGTTAGTCTGCTTGCTCTTTGGGGGGAGGTGTTATTGTCCTGTCGTTGAGGCATCACACACATCCCTGTGTGAATGCTACGCTTTATTGCGTACGGTTGGTGTCATCATTTGCCTTCCCTGCTGTTGCAGTTAAAACGTGTGGGTCGAATCTGCAGGGACCGTCGGGGACTTTTACATCGCCTAACTTCCCCATCCAGTATGAGAGCAACTCCCAGTGTGTGTGGATCATCACTGCCAGTGATCCCAACAAGGTAAACAACGAGCAGCTTTACATTTTAGTCTGCTGTTCCAGTTGTTAGATGTAGTCGCTCCTATTGTCACATGAACTTCTGTGAGGACACAGATTTTTATTTTTACTTGTCTGACTTGAGCAATAAAATGGGGCCATCTACAAAGCAGGAACAATTAGTTCCAATTAATCAAGAGAACGTCCCATTGGCTAACACTGAGGGTGCAGCACCTTAGAAAGGGGGTTCTTCAGCTGTTGTGATGACCTTGTGGGCCATTTTATTGGGTCCACCTTGCTGGTACCAGGGTGGAACCCTTCTGAGCGACTTGGTGTGAACCAGTGTTGATTTGAGTTACTGTTTCCTTTCTATGATCTGTAAAAGTCTAATTATTCTTCTCTGACACCAAAAAGACTTTGCATCCATACACCTGCTGCTCACGGGATAGTTTCTCCTTCTGAGATCATTCTCTGTGAACCCTTGAGATAGCTGTGGGTCCAAATGTGCATAGGTCAGCAGTTTCAGAAAAACTCTAACCATCCCGTCTGGCATAACAACTAGTTCATGTTTCTCACTGACAGGCGAGGCTCACTGGGAAACAATAATATGTGTTCCTTTTGAAATGCAATCAGTCACACTGAGGTTCACATGCCTTTAGAGCATGAAAACAGTGCTCTACCCTTATTTCCTGCATTAGCTGCCAAAACAAAACTTGACGAGGAAACTCTCGGGCTAGAGAAGGCCAAACAGTTTCATCACATTATGAATGTAGCATGTATGGACACACCAACCTCGACTTGTGACCGAAGATGGCTGTGTGGGTTTTTGCAGTCAGGGGAGAGAAGAGCATTTCTTGGCTACTAGAAGCTAACCGTTAGCATTAGCCAGCTGTTCAGGCTTGAGTTATTAGATAAAACATCAACATTTTTTATGTAACAAAGTACAGCAAACAGAGGCAGCAGCGGCGTTGCCAGTCAGAGGCGAGATGTTAGCATCATGAACAATAATCTGTAACCCTGACTTGACACTAGCGTGGAACGGTTTACTCAAGTTCTTCGCTGTGTGCCAATACACACCGGGAGAGTCTCAACCCCGAAGCGGCTTCTTCACCTTCCTCCCAAGAGCTCAAAATCCTTCGAGACTTCAAAGGTCACGGTTTGTTTATGCCTTCCGCCATTAAACCAAAAAGAAGATGGAGATTTGGTATCACTGTTTAATGTCTGTGCCTCTCCACTGCCAGGATTAAAGCCATGAAAACACACAGTTGCACTTCTCGAATGATGCTGGCAGTAAATAAGCTGTTAGGTCACACGTATTGACGTAATCTACATACATTTGAAAACGCATCAGTGCAATAGTCTTTTATTCTGAAAATTACCGACATTTTACATTGAAACCACATGTGATTTCCTGTCTAGTTCTATGTTGAAAGCAAAAATTGACGTGTCCTAGAAGTGGCTCGCTGCAAAAATAGAACCCAATCCTATATTTAGCGACACGTCATGGCACTCTGCTTCTGGAATGCAGTTTCTGGAACGCAGCTTCTGGAATGCTGCTTCTGGAACGCAGCTTCTGGAACCTTGCTTCTGGAATGCTGCTTCTGGAACGCAGCTTCTTGAACGCTGCTTCTGGAACGCAGCTTCTGAACCCTTGCTTCTGGAATGCTGCTTCTGGAACGCAGCTTCTGGAACCTTGCTTCTGGAATGCTGCTTCTGGAACGCAACTTCTGGAACCTTGCTTCTGGAATGCTGCTTCTGGAACGCAGCTTCTTGAACGCTGCTTCTGGAACGCAGCTTCTGGAACCTTGCTTCTGGAATGCTGCTTCTGGAACCTTGCTTCTGGAATGCTGCTTCTGTAATGCTGCTTCTGGAACGCAGCTTCTGGAACCTTGCTTCTGGAATGCTGCTTCTGGAACCTTGCTTCTGGAATGCTGCTTCTGTAATGCTGCTTCTGGAACGCAGCTTCTGGAACCTTGCTTCTGGAATGCTGCTTTTGGAACACTGCTTTTGGAACCTTGCTTCTGGAACCTTGCTTCTGGAACGCTGCTTTTGGAACACTGCTTCTGGAACGCTGCTTCTGGAACCTTGCTTCTGGAACGCTGCTTCTGAAACCTTGCTTCTGGAACACTGCTTTTGGAATGCTGCTTCTGGAATGCTGCTTCTTGAACACAGCTTCTGAAACCTTGCTTCTGGAACACTGCTTTTGGAATGCTGCTTCTGGAATGCTGCTTCTTGAACACAGCTTCTGGAACCTTGCTTCTGGAATGCACCTGAAAATTTTGACGCAGCGGCCAGTTTGGATCAACCCATAGAATATAATGGATTCTACAGTATATGCAGCGACGTTCTGCTGCCATTTTGCAACGCGGATGCCTCCCATGTGAAGTTGGGGTATCTATCTTCTATTTCCTGACACGTTTTTATTTCTACACATCATCACTAACTATAATACATGAGACTGCAGCTCCTTTTCATCACAACTCGTTTGACTCTTTTAACCTCCTCCCTCAGTCTTCTTCATTCTGATGTTCAGTTTGAATTTCAGCAGGTCATCCTTACCATGTCTAGATGCCTAAATGAATCGAGTTCCTGCCATGTGACTGGCTGTCAATGTTCACCAAATTCTCAAACTGTACCTAATGAAGTGGCCTGTGAGATGGTTTTGATGATAAGCATAACAAGCTTTTTATTTATCTCTTCACCGTCTGACAGAATCAGACATTCCTTTCCTTTAATCCACGTTGTGGGTTGTCTCTCATCTGTAAACATAGATGCACTGGGTTATTTTTCACTTCTGCTTGATCTGTTGACTCTTCATTCATCAGAGGTAACAAAGGGGCTGCGGAATAGTTTCTGAACGAGAACAGCTTTTCTCCAGAGCGCAGAAACCAGAGCTGTCCCTTAAGGTCACAATCACAATGTCTACATAAATCTGACTCTTTATTAGCAGAGCAGTGGCTCAGACATATAAGGGTGTCAACCAAGTGTTGCTAATAAACACTAAGCAACCAACTAACACTCATTCAGGACTCCCCCTGACTGGCAAACGCCATTGCTGTGTGCCACTGTGCGCTTTCCTCAGCAAACAGCCTTTGACTTGGCAGTGAAACTTGGTCCATTAGTGTTATTATGGTAATTATGTTTTTTTTTTTTGGTGCATTGTAATGAGGCTGCTTTACATAGATGTTGTGCAGACGTTGTCCTCCCCCGGCCATAAAGAGGGAGGCTGTGGATGAGCAAGCAGCCTTCATGTTTGTCATCAGCAGATGTGACACTAATGTCATAACCACATCCTTCCTGCCATCGCTAATCCAGGAAAAGATAATGTGGCTCACTGGTGAATGTCTCTGCAGTGGTCTCAAATTAACGTGATGATTATTGGCGGAAGCAGCTGTTGCCAGTTTGATCATTACAAACAACATCTTCTGTGAAGCTTTATTGTGTCGATGGACCTCTGACAGCCTACAGACATCTCAAGGGCAAAAGCAGACAGTCAATTAATAATTAGCTAATCTTGAATGTGGTTTTAAGAATTTGATTTGTGGGATTGGTTCTTTGTTTTTGTTTACTGCTTAGAGATTTGTTTGTGATTCCTCTTGTTTGGATGTTTAATGCTCGGAAGAGCAGTCTTTATCAAATCCTCACTCCAGTGACGTTCTGGGGTTTGATGCAACTTGAGTTTCATGTTTGCTTTTCTCTTTTATAGCTTAGTTGGTATTGGCTTTGGGGGTATTTTCAGCATAATACATAGAAGTACCAGAATTCACGTTTTATTATGCAGCCATTTGAATTTTGAGAGGAGGGCAAGTCTTAAGCTTTTACAGCTTTCCTTGATCAAATATTTTGCTGCCTGCTTCTCCAAACGGATGTGGCATCTTATAGAGTTTCTGTTTGTAGCACGCCTCTCACAGTTTAGACATCACCACAAACATTTTCTCAAAAAGAACTTATGGAAATGAGCAAATTTGTTCTGAATGTCCTTTAAATTAGATGCCGGGGGGGGGGGGGTTTGATCTCAAAGCACATTTAATATCACTGCTGATCTGATTTAAAGGGTTTTGCTTGCAGTTGAATGTACAGGAAACTGTTAAAAATGGCTGCTAGATTCATTATTCTATGTAATAACAGGAATTATTCAATGACAAATGTCAATAAATTCAATACTAAATTCAACAATAAATGATAGTTTCTCGATAGACGTGTGAGCACTCAGCATGTTACCTGCAACAGACAGCAGTCAGAGGGATCTTGGTTTGTAGAAATGTAGAAATTCTCACAGAGTCCAGCTAGCCATAGAAAAGTCCTCTTCCACATTTTAGGGACTTCTGGAAGGTGAAGTGTCCTGGCTGGTATAACTCGGCTAAGCTAGGATGTGGTTTACATGCAGAGAAATTTGGTTTTAGTACCTTCTTAGGGTTCTACAACTCCCCAAGGCACTTCACAAAACAATCAGCCATTCACACACACATTCCCACGCTGAGTAGTTCAGTTCTGTTCGACTTAATTTGGACCGAGGTGCATTTAATTGCACTGACTTTATGAATGGCTGCTTGTCTCTGTGTGTTCTTGTATCGGACTGCTTACCTGTCCACAGTGACCCCACCTCTTGCCTGATGACTTGAAGCAAGGCACCAGTTTGCTGTGACACTAATGAGGAACAATTGGTTCAGATTAAGAATGTGAAGAGGTCAGAGCTTCTTTTTCACACTTGCTGAAGAAAAACGAGAAATCCCAGATAAAAAGGTCATGACCTGTTGATAAGCAACCCTGATTATGCTATTTGTATTGGATAAATATTTGAATAAAATTTCCAATTTCTGGGCCTTATCTTGCATAAACCAATAAAAGTTTGATGACATATTTTAACACACACCATGGACAGAACCAGCTAGTATTCTTATCCTCCTCTGACATACATGACCCCTTAACCTAGGAAAGAAAGAGAATTGCTTACCTAAAGCTTAGCAGCATCTCCCCCATGCAAACATCACACCATCCTGTTGAGCTTCGACTGTTTCACTGCAAACTGAAGCCTGTAATTCCTGTAACCGCTGTTAAACCCAGGGTTTAACTGTGTATGCATCCCTTTCCTCCAGCCTGACAGCCACCAGGCCTGGAGACTTGATGATCAAAAGCAGATTAGCTGTACCCCCTTCTGGAAACATCCTGAACAGTGCCCCCCTACCCCCCCCCCCCCCCCACCCCCCCCCCCCCCCCCATCAGTTGCACCCTTTGCTTTATGCCTGGCTGCAACGGTGGCACCTGTGAGAAGTGTTTGTGAGCTTTGAACCACTCCCATTCTCTCCCATCTGGGACAACCCCCCAGGGTGCTGAGGGGGTGAGTAAACCGGGAAACACTGGGGAAACGAGTGTTTCTTCAGATGTGTGAGCAGAATGAAAAATCATCACACTAAAGTTTTAGATGACTTTAGTTGAGTGACCTCTCATCTTCTTGGGGTAAACATGGAACAAGTGCTTTATCCCTCTGGGGCTCAGAGCAGGACTCCCCATGTGTGTCGCCTCCTGGGGATCTGTCTACCACTGCAAAGGGTGTACTGCCCTTCTGGCTCTATACAGACTAGTCTTCCTACACTGTAAAGGTGGAATTTGACATGGATGCAAGAGATGCCTATGCTTAGAATCTTGTGCTGCATCACTTTGGAGTTTTCTGGTGTGAAGCCAGTGGGCTGGAGAGTGTGAGACAGAAGATATTTCTCTTTTCAGGCTCATTACATGGTTACAGCCTCGAATCAAACACCATGAGACTAAAATAATGAGATCTGCCACAAATCAGATCTCCTGGATTGATAGACTTGGGATATATTTGTCCAAAAGGTTGCCAGTTTCACGAACAATCCTGTTTGTTGAGTTGAGAGACCAGAGCAAATATAATGAAAGTTTTCAGGGGCTGGTACATGGGGATAACGATGTGCTCCGTCGTGCCCAGAAGGTGGAGTGGTGGTTTGTAATGAGCTGGTAAGTGACTGCTCCACCACTGGGAGGTCAGCAGACTCTAAAGTCTCACTGAGATCATGCCCATGAGGCAAACCCCAGCATCACCACGTCTTCTTCATGCATGCTGGATCACTGGAACTAAGCAGTTTGCTGATGCCTGACAAGAAGACATGGTTTGTACATCTTCTCCTCTGCCATTCTCGAACAAAACCACTCAGGGGCGAGCTGGGCTGCTGCCCACGTATACATCTCACCACTTGCCAGAGATGATGGAGCCCAGTAGCGAGTGGGGGTGTTTGGGTGGGTTGTTTTGTCAGAAGAGAGCATGGTATTCTCATCATGGGAGTTTTCAAAGTTTCCCATTGTCCTCCTTTCTGCAGCCTCAAAATCAAGAAACTGACCATGGAGAAGAAAAACCAGGGTCTTCCACTGCTGAGCCAGACTTCCACCTCAGTTATCACTAGCTTTCACAATTGTTCTGGTGAGACAAGGGTCAATGGTGAAGTCCACCAAAACCAGTAAATGGTGTTGTGTTACAATGGTAGCAGGAGACTGGGAACACGAGTGTATGTCATGCTCATGCTTCCACTAGCAGAGGAGGCAGCGATCATTCTCGGACTCTGTAAATTTAAACTCGACTAGACATTGCCTCAGCCATCTGTTGAAGGCTGATGAATAAATAACAGACCTTCGAGTCAACAAAAGCCAAACTGCATAAGAGTTTGAATGTTTTCAAATCTGAAGCTGACGTGCGCTGTAATATATGTGACTGCAGGTTATTCAGATCAACTTTGAAGAGTTTGACTTGGAAATTGGATACGATTCACTGACCATTGGAGACGGGGGAGAAGTGGGGGACTCTAAAACAATTATTCAAGTGTAAGTACAAAATGTTCTTTACTCTTGGGGTGTGTTACTGTGTTGAAATCTTTTCTGAATCGAAATCATGATGTTGTTTAAAAGATTTGTTCTTTAAAAATGGTAAAATCTGCACAAATTTGCTGCAAACACATGGCACTGTTAGTACAGGCAGTATTATTACCTTCTTCTCAATAACAGCTCTCATGATTCAGAGAGCAAATCCTCCTGTGTGTTGTCTTTATACGGTTACATCCACCTTATTAATTCCTGTGTATCTTTGTGCAACGGGAAGATTTTGGAAAACTACACTTTCTCATTTCTCTTATCTACAGGCTGACTGGGAGTTTTGTCCCAGACCTGATTGTAAGCATGTCCCATCAGATGTGGCTTCATCTCCAGTCGGATGAGAGCGTGGGCTCGATAGGCTTCAAGATCAACTATAAAGGTACACAGATAATAACTGTTGTATTGTCCCTCCCTGTCTGCCTTTACATCTTTCTGTGCCCGTTATCCAGCAAAGCAACAAATCTTCACTGCACGATTCTCTTCGTTGCCTGGCTCTAAATAAATGTCTCAACTCAAAGATCCTTCAACACACCGTGGTTCATTTAATTGTCTCCTTTACTTCCTTTTCTTTCCTTTCCTTCAAATATTCCCACACATCCTTCCTCGTCTCTTTCCCTCATGCTCAGAAATTGACAAAGAGAGCTGCGGCGACCCCGGTACGCCTCTCTATGGCTACCAAGAGGGCACTGGGTTTTTAAATGGAGATGTCCTTCGCTTTGAGTGCCAGTTTGGATTTGAGCTCATCGGCGAGAGGATGATAACCTGCCAAAACAACAATCAGTGGTCAGCAAACATCCCCATCTGCATATGTGAGTCGCATGCGTCTTGTTTTCATAACGGTAAATAAAGCAATTACTTACACTCTTGGAAAGTTCATATTGTCACCGAGCTATGGGAGGATTAATTACGGTGTAGTTAATTGAACACACAGTACATGTTTGTACACAGCCAGCAGTTTAATGTGTAAAATGAGAAATGGATGGCATGTGGATGTCTCGTTGTTAAGGCTTGGTTAGAGAGGAATAAAATCAGGGCTCATGCTGTTATGCAGTGCACATAAACCGTAAAGGGCATCCTGCATTATACAGTGCATCATCCTTTGTCATGACAGCCATGATTCATGCCTTCAGTTTGGATCCACGCGGCATATATCCATAACTAAACTCTAGACGTCTGTTTCCCCACGTTACCTGTGCTTATTGGAGCACCTGCAACACCCCAAGCAGTTACACATTCCTTCAGCTACTCAGTACCCATGGGAGCTGTGCTGTCTCCTGATTGCTGAGCTACTTATACAATAGTGACTTTTTCCTGCAGAACTCTGAGTGTGCAATTCTTTTATGGCAGAATGCAGCCTTTACAAAGTCATGTGACCCTTGAGAGGAGCTGTAGAACAAATTACCTTACTTGGGATGTTGAAGTTTTATAAATCACAGGTGATATATTTTCCACATTTTATCACACAGTCCCCTGTTTCTCCAACTTCACCGCACCCATGGGGACAGTGCTGTCTCCCGACTACCCAGAGGGCTACGGGAACAATCTCAACTGTGTGTGGTTGATTATCACCGAACCCGGCTCCAGGATTCATCTGGCCTTCAACGACTTTGACCTGGAGCCTCCCTACGACTTCCTTACTATCAAAGATGGGGATCAGTCGGGCGCCATGATGCTCGGGCGTTTCTCTGGAGCAGAAGTGCCATCACATCTGACCTCCAACAGCAACATCCTGCAGCTGGAGTTTCAGGCTGATCACTCGATGTCAGGACGAGGATTCAACATCACCTACAGCAGTGAGTTCAGACCGGATCCTAGCACGCCTTTTATTCAGACGTAGATGTTTACCTATCTAAGCCATCAAGTACCTTAAATTTGTTCACTTTTGGATAAAAAACTTTTACTTAAAATCATATAGAAATGTTAATGGTGGTATTAGCAGAATAACTACTTAGTTACTGGGACTGACTGAATTGTTACATGGAAGAGTTTTCATGTTGTGACATAACAGACCACACATTTATTTCATATCTAACATGTCTGTGCCATTATAATGCCTTACCTTATGAACCACATAAGAAATCCTCCTAACTACAGGTGCAGCTTAATGTTGGTTTCATTTGTGGAGTCAGTCCTTTGGCAGAACCTGTCCAGCTTTTTTTTTTGACGATGTTTTAGACAAAGTCTCGTCCAAGGCCTCTGAAGGGCTTGCACCTCGTGTGGCGAACCCACTCCATTTGTTCTTGTGAAGTTGTCTCTTTAAAGTAGACTTGGATAATGATATGACTACCTCCTGGAGCGTGTTCCACACTTGGCTGGATGTTGCGAAGGGCTTTATTCTGCTTTTGAAGAGGATGTTGTTGTGCTCCATAGACACTCAGGTCTTTTCATCTCGCCAGTGTTCCCTTTTTTCTCTGAATGTACTAAATATTGGTTTGGCCAGAACTCCAAAGGGTTCATTTCATCTGCTTTGAAATGGAAATTTGACTGGAGACCTTTTAGCTTTCCAGTTGATTAAAGACTGATTGAGGAATAACCCACACCTCACAAAACACCTTCTGAGTCAAGCTTTAATAGAATCCCAATTATAATAACTGTAATGATTAATATTGTTCATCTCTTTGTTTTACTTCTACTAAGAACACTAATGCTTTCCATTGTACGTGTATTTATACTCTCTCCTTCTCTAACCCTAACCCATGCTGGTTTATCCATGACCTTAACCCCAACTAAAAGGTAATTCACACCAAACCTCTAAGTTTAAGGGGGTTTTCCATTATTGGGACCAGTCAAATATCACCACAATTCCTAAATATCCCCACGTTACAGGTTGAACTTGAAAAATAAAATGACCCCAAAATGTTGCACTAAAACAGTGCACACACACATAAACACACACACAACATGCCATGCATGTGTTTCATCACACATGTGTATTGAGACTAGATTGTGTCTCCTGTGTTTTCTTATTAAAAGCATTTGGACACAACGAGTGTCCTGACCCCGGCGTTCCTTTGAACGGTCGGCGTTTTGGGGACAGTTTCCAACTGGGTAGCTCCATCTCTGTGGTTTGTGAAGAGGGCTTCATCAAGACACAAGGAGCTGACACCATCACGTGCCATCTAGAGGACGGGAAGGTGATGTGGAGTGGACTCATACCTAAATGTGAAGGTACTGAGATAGAATTGTTAATATTTGTGCAGATGTTGGAGAAGAGAAGTTAACTCTTTAGTTGGTGTGAGAAGAAAGGAACAGAAAGCCTTTATATTGATGTGACTGTAGTCTTTGGGTGAAACCTATTATGGACTTTCTTTCAAATGGTCACAAACATCTTCAATCATTGTAAAAGCTTTTCTTCCCCTTGCTGTTCCCCATTTTTATTAAAAAAAAACATCTCTTCTTTTCCAGCTCCTTGTGGGGGGCACTACTCAGGGCCGTCTGGTGTCATTCTCTCCCCGGGCTGGCCAGGATACTACAAAGACTCCCTGAGTTGTGAGTGGGTCATTGAGGCTGAGGCGGGACGCTCCGTCAAGATTAGCTTTGACAGGTCTGTATGACACTACTGAAACAAGTCAGCTGTAGGAACAAAGACACACACGTATGCACACACACACACGGCCTGATCACAGGACGTGTACTAGAATATGAAAACACAAAAACATGCATTTCCTCCAGTAAACACTCATGCACGTGCTCCTACAATACAATTATTATTATTAGTAGTATTGTATAATAAATCCAACTGTCTCGTCCTAAACCTTAAAGCCCTTGTTTCTTAAGTATGATTTTTTTTGTGATTCCCAGAAAATAAACCCAATCTCTGGTGTTAATATCTCATCAGCTCAGTTTGTAATTTGACTCTGTCTGAAGAGATTTTTACTTTTCAATATTATTGGTAATTTCTGCTGAAACTCTGTGCTTGCTGCAGCAGTTTGATGTAGGAGACCAAAGATCGGCCACAGATTCATATCAGGTCATATTTCTTAGAACATCATTGATCTTGTGCACTTTCAATAATTAGCAGGATCGCTATGTCCGCTCATCTGTCTTCACAATAATTTGTTTTCTTTTTCTTCCCTCCAAACTGGAGTTTCTCCTCTGAATAAGAGTAATGTGTTAGACTCTGTAATCGCTTTGTCTTCTCTTAAGGTTTCAAACAGAGCTCAGTTACGACTTTCTGGAGGTGCACGATGGCCCCAACCTGCTGTCGCCTCTGATCGGCTCATTCAATGGAACTCAGGTCCCTCAGTTTCTGTTCAGTAGCAGCAACTTCCTGTATTTGCTCTTCACCACTGATAACAGTCGGTCAAATAGTGGCTTCAAGATCTTTTATGAAGGTAAGAAAGAAACTGTTTACTGATACTGATTCAGTTTTTCACTAGTCTTTAAAAAACAACAGTTTCATTGATTATTTTAGGATTTATTAGGCTTTAAAGATTATTATGTACCATATAATTAACTTTCATCATGAGAAATTTTCAAATCAAGACAGATTTCTGTTTGGCTTTAAACATTCACCCATTTAGTTTCAGTTTTCAATTCAATTCTACTTTATTTATAAAGCGCCAAATCACAACAAGAGTCGTCTCAAGGACCTTCACACAGTAAACATTCCAATACAGGTCAGTTCATTAAGCCAATCAGTAAAAAGTTTCCTATATAAGGAACCCAGCAGGTTGCATCGAGTCACTGGCTAGTGTCAGAGTCTTTACAGCAATCTTCATACTAAGCAAGCATTTAGCGACAGTGGAGAGAAAAACTCCCTTTTAACAGGAAGAAACCTCCAGAGGATCCTGGCTCAGTATAAGCAGTCATCCGCCACGACTCACTGGGGATCGAGACGATAGAGCACACACACACACACACACACACACACACACACACACACACACACGCACACACACGCACACACACGCACACGCACGCACGCACGCACGCACGCACGCACACACACACACACACACACACACACACACACACACACACACACACACTCTACATATATACCAAGGAATGTTTCTATGGTTACATTGTGATTTCTGAGTAAATATTTTATTTGGTGAGAGATAAGCTTTTTTGTACGTATCCTAGTGAATCTATAATTAAACGGGTAAACTAGTAGTAGCACATTCAATGTCAAAGAGAGTAAAATGTTATTATCAGGAGAAGGACAATGTTTAAGTGGTTAGCAGCAGTGTGCTAGCTGATGGCCCCCTCCATGAGGCCACCACAGCTCAGCAGAACATCATTGTAGCTTCTTCTGGGGAGAAAAACACTTAGAGAAAAAATAAAGTTAACAACTGAAATGGCAGGAAGTAATGTAGTTAAAGAGCTAATTGTAGAAGAAAGTAGTAGAGTGTGGAAAGTGGTCAGTGTGTCCTCCAGCAGTCTAAGCCTATAGCAGCATAACTACAGAGATAACTCTGGATAACCTAGCCTTTTAGATGGAGGCATGTTGGAGGCAGGGCAAGGGAGAACCGTCTTTACTGACTGACTACACTCCACCTCCTTCTGTTGATCTACTGGGACAATGACCCACAACCATCACTCATTAACCATCTTGGAGAATAATTAGAAGAAGTAAAATTATCCGGTGAGAGTCAGGTTGTCTTGTTGATGGCAGAGTTTAGAGAAGACTCAACAGTTCAAATAATCACTGGCATCTCTGAACCACAACATGATCAACCTTGAAGCAGATGGACCACAGCAGAAGAAGACCACAACTGGTGTCTCTCTTGTCGGCTAAGAACTGGATACTGAGGCTAAATTAGACACAGGATTAGCAGAACTGGACCATGAAAGACCAGAACTACCTCTCCTGGTCTGATGCTGAATTTAGTGTCACCAACACGAAAGCATGGATCCATCCTTCCTTGTGTCAATGGTTGAAGCTGCTGTTGTAATGGTGGTGGGATGTTTTTGTCCTGGACACCTCAGTACCTCAGCCTACCTGAGTCTTGTTGCTGACCATGTTTAGGATCACATGGACCCATCTTTTGATGCTACTTCCAGCAGGATCATGCACCATGTCACAAAGCCCAGATCATCTCTCACTGGTTTCTAGAACATGACCATGAGTTCAGTGGACTCCAGTGGCCTCCACAGTCACTGAGGTCCAGTAGGAAATTCAATTGTGATGCCATCAGGACAATATGGATGAAAATCTCTGACGAACATTTCAAACACCTTGTTGAGTTGGTGTCTAGAAGATAGAAGGTAGTTCTGACCCCTAGTATCAGTGAAGTGTACCTAATAAAGTGGCTGGTAAGTGTCTGCTTCAAGAGGATTGAGGGTATGTGACATCACAGTATCATTAGTGCTAACATAAAACATGTTGTGTTCATCATATCATTATTATGACAGCCGTTCAGTTTAGCTAGTCAGTGTCATTTTGAACTAACTGTGTTTGTAAAAAGACACAAGCACCAAGGACACAACCCTATTAAATGTGCTTCCTTCCAGGGATGGTAGATGAGACGTTTGTCTTTTCTTTGTGGCCTGACCAGAAGTGGTGCCTGAATGTATAATAAAATCAAGTCTTTTTAAACACTTTCAGCTGAAGGTCATGATCTCAGCAGCGTACTAGACAATACTAATGCCTCCCATCTGGGGCTAGGTGGACTGTAAATCTATATGGATTCTGTTTACATTTGCATCGCCTAATTGGTTGAGACTTGTTCTCGGAGTCTCGTCTACGATGTGCTGTCTGAATCGATTCGTTCCAAAGTCAGCTGCCTGTGCAGAAGTCAAAGATACCTTTTATTTATTTATTTGACCACATTTAGACTTTTCTTTATCTTTTTTTGCCTCTTTTAAGTTGTTCTCAACTAGAAATGACAACTTAATGTAGCTTGACTCACAGTGCACTCTGTGCTGCCAGTCCTGCCAAAGCTATCAGTAGCTGCAAGGTGTGAGGTTAATTAGGGAGGCAGCATGTTTGTCATGTCCTCAGGTTACTGTGTTTATTTGTGTGTGTGTGTGTGTGTGTGTGTGTGTGTGTGTGTGTGTGTGTGTGTGTGTGTGTGTGTGTGTGTGTTTTCTAGTTAACCGAAGCTTTGCTCATGTTCCTTCTCTCAGGGTTTTCGTTTCAGGGAAACATTCCTGTGTATCTGTGCAGCAGCTAAATCGTGTTGGTGTCCCCTTTCTGTTAAGTAAAAGAGTTGACATCATTGGGTGACTCTGCTCTCTAACAGGAGCGCTGTAGCAGTCAATACTAATTAACCTGCAAGCCTCAGACTGTCAAGGCTGGAAAACCCAACACTTCTGCTAATTATGTGTTATCACAAAAAAACCTGAAACCAAATAAGAATAACTCAAACTGATTTGTGATTGTTTTCTTCAGTCAAAAAGGGAAAAAAACATACATCAAATTTATGTCTGAAGGTCTAATTTTAAATACAGATATTAAATATTTTCAGTAATCAAACGCACCCATGAACTTTGCAACCTCTAGTCAATATTGACTCAAAATTGACTTCAAGCTTAAAGACTTTCTAAAGACATCTGCATGAATAAATGAACCATTTGCTTCCACAGATGTTTGGTTTGAGGCAAGTTCTTATAGTAAGTTGTATTTTCTTCCCACACCGGTATCCTTGGAGTGGTAGCCTTTGAAAAATCTAATTGAAAAGAATTTTGGACATAGTGTGATCTATTTTCACAATAGTTTGCACTGGCGCCATTACCCTTGTCACTCTGATTTGATTCATAAGACAGAGTTTGCTATTATGTCTGTATTATTGACTGAAAGCCATCCACAAGTGTCCTTGTCTTATTATCTTTTGCTGTTGAGTTCATTTCTTCTTCGTTGATGAGACTATCGAAAAGCAATAACAGTAAGATCATATTAGCTTCCTCCGTCGCCATTTAGGATATATCTAATTGCTGGAATACCTAAGGGAAGCATAGCCAACTTCATTTGTAAAAATGGCCATATAAAAAAAATAAAGGTGAATTATTCAGTAAATAAACCGAGGCATGCTGCATGAATACCTTTATGTGCAGGGAAGTTTAAAGTTGCATACAAATATAAAATAAAAATCGAGCAATACATTAAATACATATTTCAGAATAAAGTGTTTGCACAACTCATGTTGTCTTTGTTTGAGATGAGTGGCAATCATTATTTCCCATTAAGTTTCTACGCTTTAGAGGCCAGGACCAGCAGTGATCAGAGAAAGATCTGCTTTTAGGACACGAATACCATAACTGCTCTACAGATAATCTTTTAGGATAATCTTATCTTGTGTGGTGTGTTAAGAGGACTCTAATCTGATTGAACATCGGTACCGCTTCAATCATAAGTCCAGGCTTTGAAATTCATCAGATTGTCTTGGCCTGACTTTGAGGACAAACTAGCATGAATGTGATGTGTAGCCAATCAGAAAGCGAGGAGCATGCTCCTCCTCCACCATGTTTGTTTACTCTAATGTCCCGTTTGAGTTTGCAAGAATTCATGTCTGACTGGGATCTGTTTGTGAGTGAAATAGGTTTGTGTGTAATGCGTAGTATTTGTCGATGCACACACTGTAGAACACAAACATGAATATCTGTGATTTTTTATACCATGTGGTCTTTCATGCTTTGAAAATCAGTTGTCCATTTAAAATCCTTTCGTATAAACCGAGCTTTAGAAGACATGGCACATTTCAGCACGCTAGAGTGGTCTAAAGGAAACCAACTCACTCCGTTAAACAAAGAATGTCTCCTAAATTTGCTGCTGTTGAAATTTTAGGCATGTAATTAACAACATAATTACACATAAATAGTCATTAAATGTGAGATCAATAGTAGTGTAAACATTAATAAATTCATGTTTGCACGAACAACTGTGGAATTTAAGGCATTTGAGCTGTTTTGAGGGGCCCGCAACACACTTTGGTGTTATCTGCATTAGCCGTTAGCTCGTCAGTGCAGAAAGACACAAACTCCATTTTTCCAAACTGGAGACGGTGGGGAACCTGCAATTATTAATAATGTTCATGTAGAAAAATACTTCTAAATGGTTGAGAAATTCCTTGAAGTAAGGAGAAAGTTTTATAGTGTACCATTTCAGGGCATCACAGTTGATGTAATTTTACAAAATATCTGCTGCACATTTAAATATAAATCAGGATGAACTCGCTGACATTTTACTTAATGAACAAGATTTAATCACAAACATGTCAAATATCTGCAACATTGTATAGACAGCTTCTTTAATGTCAGTTCTTGATAAAAATTTTTTTTACTTAAACTGTGTTTTTTATGCTGAGTGACGGTGTTTGTGTGCAGGGGGGGAGTTTGTGTTAAAGTGCTTGCAGATTGCAAAAGTGAGCAAAAACTGATACAAGTTTTGATAAAACTTTCTTTAAATAGTCCGTCAAACCATGAGCTGACCTGTTGCCAGTTGTTTCCTCCAGTCAGCGTATTTTTAAGGCCTGAAATGCAGCCCTACTGGGGAGATTTCCTTATGTCAGCCCTGGGAATCTGTAAAAAAAAAACAGGTCTTCTCCTTCCAGCTTTTATCACTGCGAGTTAGAACCCCCCCCCCCCCCCCCCCCCCCCCCCCCCCCCCGCAGAGAAAAACAATAACCCAAGCATGTTTTTTTAGAAAGGTGCACATTTGTGGTCTAAAGCTTTCTTTGGACTGGAAAAGCGTGTTTGTATAGTTTCTACAAGTTCAAACCCCCAATCTGCTTCCCCAATGAACACCTGCCCTGGTTTCTTTAGCAGGTCTCCAAGCTTTGACCTTTGACCCTGTTTCAGTTCAGTAGGCTAGTTGCTAGCTCAAGCATGACTCACCAGTCTACTTCTCTAAATCAAAAGCACCATTTCTGCAGGAGTCGAGCAGCTTCATGATTTCTGTTGTGATTGTTTAAACTGTGTTTTGTGAGGTGTTGAGTGTATTTTCTTCATTCTGCATAAGTAAGCATCCTTTAAAAGTCAAACTGAATTAATGACCCTGCAAATGTAGCTTTTCATACTGCATGAGAACGTCTTTTTTAGATAATGGCAGCAGTGATGATTCTGTTAGCATATTTTCTTCCTAGAAGTTTATCTGATTTCTGAAACAGAACTGATTATTTTGGTCTAAGTGAAGCTTTACAACTTTCTGTTCCTTTTGAAATGCTAAATGTATTTTATATGAATCAGTAAAGGGAAGACAAATCTAAAATAAACCCATGCGACAGCAGTGCACAAGAGACAAACAGAATGAAATCTTTAGTACCAAGAGTCAAAGCAAAATACTTCATTTATTAACAGGAAATGCATCTTTTTAGGAATCCTCCTTTTATAACTGATATACTAAATGTTAAATCTAGAGTTTTATCAAGTATTAAGGTTATTGTGTAATGACGCCTTTTTAATTTCCTGCAGTGGTCACGCTGGACACATACTCCTGTATGGATCCTGGTATCCCAGTGAATGGTGCACGCCTGAACCACGACCTGTCCATTGGCTCTACTGTATCATTCCAGTGTGATCCAGGTTATAGACTCAGCCACGAGGAAATGCTGGTTTGTGAAAAGAACCACTTTTGGAGCCACCCCCTGCCCACTTGTGATGGTGCGTACGGTTGCTGTGTAGTCTAGTCGGGATGTCGGCATCAGTTAAAAGTACAGCTTCTCTCATTTGCATGTAAGATGAGAACGTGTGATTGTTGCTTTATTCATAAATACTTAGATTTATACTTTTCCCCTAGCAGACTTGACAATGCAAATACTAGAAAACACTCCATGCACAACCATACTGTCAGTTATCTTACTGATGAGGCTTCATCCAGCAAATACACCAAGCCTGTGTTTGCAGCCTCCTGGCCACATATCACCAGACCTTCACAAGGAAAAAAAAATACTTGCAAGATGAATCATAAGAGAAAGAATTCCTTCATACGAAATGGTCGTATAATATCTTGGGGTGTTGTCTTGTGGAGGTGTGTGTGCCAGTCGGTGCCGAATACCTTGGCTCTCTTCCTGTGGAGCCTCTGAAGTAATCCTTTGCCAAGCATGCTCATCAACTTTTAATGGCTTTATGTAATTTGGGCTCATTAATAAAATATTTGATCACATTTTTGTTGGTTGGTAAAAATTGAGACCTGCATGCGGTGTGCCGTGGAAGGCCCGAGGGGGGAGGAAAGAGGATAAGAGTGGGTGTGTGCATCTGTGGAGACCAAGGCATCGTGTCCTCCAAAAAGAAGAAGAAGAAGAAGAAGAAGAAGAAGAAGAAGAAGAAGAAGAAGAAGAAGAAGAAGAAGAAGAAGAAGAAGAAGAAGAAGAAGAAGAAAATATCATTTCTATAGGGCCTCTCAAGATCAAAATCACAAGGCGCTTCACAAAAACAAAAAAAAAGTAAAAATATAAAAAAGCATTTAGAAAATGTTAAAACATATATTTAAAATGTGCAAAAATAGGCAATTGGGACTTAAAAAAATTTTAAGAAAGGAAGAGAGTGAATAGGAAAGAGGGAAATCAGTGGATCCTGAGGAAGGTGGAATAGGTGGGGAGAGCAGAATAAAGAGAGAGTGGTGAAGAAGGTCATACAAAAGCCAGCTTGAACAAGTGAGTCTTCAGCTGCTTTTTAAAGGAGACCACTGAGTCCACTGATCTCAGGCTCAGGGGGAGAGAGTTCCAGAGTCTGGGGGCCACAGCAGCAGATGATCTGTCACCTTTGGTCTTTAGCCTGGTGCTGCACAACCAGTAGGCTTTGATCACTGGACCTCAGGGACCTGCTGGGGTGTAGGGACTGAGAAGATGACCAATGTATGATGGTGCTTGTCCATGTAAGGCCCTATAGACCAGAACCAGGATCTTGAAATGAACCCTGAAGTTGACTGGCAGCCAGTGAAGCTGGAGGAGAAGCGGGGTGATGTGGGTGTGTTTGGAGGACTTGGTCAGAAGCCGAGCACAGCTATTCTGAACCACCTGTAGACGGTTCAGGGAGGTTCTGCTCAGACACGTGAAAAGAGAGTTACAGTAGTCTAAGCGTGAGGAGATGAAGGTGTGGATAACTGTCTCAATTTCAGAGCGGGACAGAATGGGACTCAGCTTAGCAATGTTCCTGAGATGGAAGAAGGAAGAGCAAACAAGAGAACTGACATGATAATACAGGGTGAGAGCTCGGTCAAAGGTCACGCCAAGATTCCTGACAGAAGGTTTGGTGTGAGAAGCAAGCTCACCAAGAGAGTCTCTGACTTTGGGAACCAGCTTGTCTGGGGCACAGATGAGGATCTCAGTCTTATCTTCATTCAGCTGTAGAAAGCTCCCAGCCATCCAGGTTTTGATAGAGTCTAAGCAGGTGTGTAACAGCTGCAGCTTAGACAACTCATGGGGCTTAAAGGAGATGTACAGTTGGATGTCATCTGCACAAAGATGGTAGGAGATTCCTTTGAAGGAGCTCAGGATGTGCTGAAGAGGAAGCAGATAGAGGAGGAAGAGAAGAGGCCCCAGCACAGAACCTTGTGGGACACCATGGGTAAGGGAGGTGGTGGAGGACCTAAACTTGGACTGCCACAGAAAAGGAGCACTCAGAGAGAAAAGAGGGGAACCACTCCAGAGCAGATCCTGATAGGCCTACCCAGTCTCTCAGCCTCTCCAGTAGCAGGTGATGGTCAACAGTGTCAAAGGCTGCAGTCAGGTCCAGCAGAACCAGAACAGAACAGTCCCCCTCATCACTGTGAGTCAGAATATCATTAGAGACCCTAAGAAGAGCTGTTTCAGTAGAATGCGCTCTACGAAAACCTGACTGGAAGCTATCATAGATGTTATGTTCATCAAGAGCAGCTGTGAGTTGTTTAGCCACAACCTTTTCCAAGATCTTGGAGATGAACAGAAGTTTAGAGATGGGTCTGAAGCTGCCATGGAGAAGGGTTGAGACTCGGTTTTTTTAAGAAGCGGGTGGATTACAGCGTTCTTAAAGTGAGCAGGGACCTGACCAGAAACCAGAGAAGCATTAATTATAGAGAGCACGCTGGGACCGATGGACTGAAAAGCACTTTTAAACAAAGATGAGGGTAAGATGTCGAGGGGGCATGCAGAGGTCTTCATAGAGTTAACTAGTTTGGTTAACTCAGGCACAGAAACAGGAGCAAAGCTATCTAGGATTATGGGCCTGGTTGGAGTCGGGAGAGGCAGCGATAAGGCTGAAGGAGAGATGCTAGATCTAACCTTATTGACTTTGTCCACAAAGAAAGACAGAAAGTTCTCACAGTCTGTAACAGAGTGGATGGAGGCTGTAGGAGAGGCAGGAGAGACGATGCTGCTGATGGTGTTAAACAGCACCTTGGGGTTCCCTTTGCTCTGGGACACCAGGTTGGAGAAATAGGAAACCCTGGCATCTCTGACTGCAGAGTTAAAGGATGTCAGAAGATCCTTGAAGTGCAGCAGATGGACGTGGAGATGGGTTTTCTTCCCCAAACGCTCAATTTTTCTGCATTGGCGCTTCAGGCTGCGATGGCTGTCATTAAACCAGGGAGTAGGGTTCACTGCAGGAACTGATCTGGTTCTGACAGGACAGATGTTGTCCAGAATGGAGAGGCAGTGCTCGTTAAACTGAGAAGTTAAGGAATCTGGGTCGTTATCAGAAGAACAGGGTGGATCAAAAGCAGCAGAAAAATTGCTAGCTGTGCTCTCATTAAGAAAACGAGAACTAACCATACGGCGAGCAGAAACTGACAAGTTAAAGAAAATGCAAAGGTGATCTGAAATATAAACGTCCTCAGGACAAACGCTGTCAACATTTAGACTCGAGGTAAAAACAAGTTCCAGAGTGTGCCCCCTGGTGTGTGTGGGGCCAGAAACATGCTGGGTAAAGCCAAAGGTGTCCATAAGGCTGGAGAAATTCATGGCAAAGTGATCAGGGGGATCATCAACGTGGATGTTAAAGTCACCAACAGTCACCAGTCTGGACAGCTTCACAGTGGAGGATAGAAAGTCACTAAACTCCTGAAGGAAAGAACTGTTTGGACCAGGTCAACGGGTCCTTACGCCCGGATTTAATCAGCTGCAGTTCAAAGGAAGCTAAGTGACCAGAGGTTGTAGAGCTACATGGAAGATGGTCTCTGAAAACAACAGCTAGGCCTCCACCACGACCAGAACCCCGGGGCTGACTAAGAAAAGAATAACCACTCGGGCAGAGTTCAATCAGAGCAGAATAATCAGATGTTTGCTGCCAAACTTCAGTCAGAAACAGAAAATCCAGGTTTTTAGAGAGAATTAGATCATTGAGCAGGAAGGACTTATTGTTAACAGAGCGGGTATTTAATAGAGCCATGCTGAGTGAGGTGGAGGAATCAGAAACTATAGAAACAGCTGGAGTTAGTGGACGTAAATTAGCAGGGTTAGATCCACGGTGTTTATAAAAACCACTTATGGAGGGAACAGGAGGAGAAACCATGAGGAATGAGGATAAACCAACCTTAAAAAACTTGGATGGATGAACCGCGTCCCAACGCGGCCTGGCGGGAATGCGGAAGTGGCGCTCAGGTCACCAAACAAAGGACAAGAAGCTACAAGATCGCTCCAATGTTTACCAGATAAACCTCGCTTTAAGAAAAGTCTTATTCTCACCTGGATTCCTGCTCATTTACCTCTTTTCCTCCGACGTTTTCCGGGGACCGGACAAACATAGCCGGAGGCGGACAGCTCGGAACTGTCGTTTGGCTCCGGGCAGGTGCGCCACTCAGGTAAACAAACAGGATGGTACGTCCTCGGTGCATCTTGGGCGATCGTGAACGAATGGAAGGACAGAAGAGTCTGGCGATCATAGGAGATGGTAGCAGGGACACTACTGAAGAGGATCGCTGACAGGAGCAAGGTGGAAAAGAGGAGGTTAGTGGAGAAAAGTTTGAAAAAGTGGCCGGTGACTGCGGCTAAGCCAAGCACAGGCGCCATCTTGTTGCCGACCCAAAACATCAGCTGACGTGCTCGACTTTGATTTTCCATGCACAGATTTATTGGGGATAGTTGTTTTGAAGAAGACTCTGTGTGCATTTGTCTGTGGTTGTGCTAACAGAACAAGTTCTGGCAACAAAAAGGCGAGCAAGAGAGAAAATCTGAATCTTGTCTCATTTCACGGGAGCCATATTTGACAAGTGTTGGAATGACCTTTTAGTTAAAACCCAGAAGCAGCATGAGAAAATGTTTACAGGTTCAGAAAAGGATCCAATTATGCCACTTAACCTTCAGGCAGATCTGGCTTTCACCTCCCAGTGCCGATCAGCAGCCAATGAGGGGGGAGATTTACCTCATTAGCTTCCTTTGATAAGGAGCTTTCGGTGGTAAATGAAGCCGACAGTCAACTACTCATGAGAGTCATGTTAGCGAGGTGACAGCAGCGTTGTTGTTCGTGACAGCCATCTTTGTCAGGTATCCTTATGGAGGAGTCGCAGCCGGATTAAGAACCCAAACTGAAAGGAGAGCAGTCATTGGCAAAGACATAAAACCAAACATTTCTATGTAAACACAGTGATGTTTTTAAAGTTGTTTTTAAGTTTAGGACACCAAGAGAGTAGAAAACGTATGAATGAATGAATGATTTAGAGTCAGGTGAAGCAGAAGGGATTTTGTGTGGACAGGGGGAAAGAAGAAACCTTTGTGTTGGCTCAAGAACAGGTGCTCATAAAAATATCAGGAGAGGACGTGTTATGACTTGAATGCATTATTCATTCGAATCACTCCTTTCTCTGCGAGTGAGGGATTTCTTGGTTCATTTCTGCAGATTTTTTTCTGTTTTTAGCATCACTTATCTTTCATTATCCCCTTTCTTTATTCAGCGTCATGTGGTGGAGATATCAGAGGACCCGCTGGGATCATCCTGTCACCTGGATACCCAGAGCTCTACCCAAACTCTTTAAATTGTACATGGACTGTTGAAGTCAGCCATGGGAAAGGTAAGAGGACCACACCTATCTAAAACTTTATAAAACTCCCTGTGCATTTTGAAATGAAATATAATCAAACATAGTTTTGTAAACCGCTGGTCATAACTTTGCACATCTGTTTTGTGTGTTGAAGTTTCTGGACAATGATAAAGAGCAGAAAATGTAAAAATTCTAATTGTTACCATAACGTTGTGGCATTAATGCAGAACCGTTGAGTCTTCAGGAATTAGTGCCCTAATTATGATGTCCTGATTACAGTAAATAATAACATTAAATAACCGTGTCCAGCATGAGTCACGCTGCCCATAGGCAACACATTCTCTCACCCAAAGCGTCAAAATATGACGCTTGTGACCAAGCCTCAATATGTGACGATTCGGGGTGCCCCAGCGCGTCAGGGGACGATGATCAGGGACACGCTGGGACACGTGGCTCTGCTGGCATCACTGTTTGACGCCCGCGGTCACACGGACATTTTTCGACTGTTTAACCTTCCCCTCACTCCAATCCTAACCTTAAGGTCAGTAACAGTGACCTTAAGGTTAGGATTGGGGTGAGGGGAAGGTTAAGTAGCTCACAAGTCGTTCTAATGTCCGTCACACCACCGGCGTCGGATACCGACGCTCTGGGATGGTGTGTCATCAGTGTGTCCCTGATCGTCGTCTCCTGACACGCTGGGGCATCCCGAATCGTGATATATTGAGGCTTGGTCACACGGGTCATATTTTGACGCTTTGAGTGTGAGAATGTGTTGCCATAGGAGCTGCCCTTGTGTGTTTATCACGCTGGTCTATTTTTAAAGCAGCAGATCTGTATCATCATCATCATCATCATCATCATCATCATCATCATCATCATCATCATCATCATCATCATGCTTTATTTCTGTAGCACCTTTCTGAAGCCCAAAGTGCTGTACCCGACCACAGTACAGCAGCAGACAACAAGGCAGAAACATGGATGTGATTACACCACATATCATAAAAGTTTAATAAACAGAAGAAAAGAATCAGAAACAAGGGACATCATGGACAACTAGACAGAGATATGGACAACTAGACAGGGACATCATGGAAAACTAGACATAGATATGGAAAACTATACAGCAAAATCATGGACAACTAGACAGGGACATCATGGAAAACTAGATAGAGATATGGAAAACTATACAGCAAAATCATGGACAACTAGACAGGGACATGGACAGCTGGACAGGGACATCATGGACATCTAGACAGGGACATCATGGACTACTAGACAGAGATATGGACAACTAGACAGGGACATCATGGAAAACTAAATAGAGATATGGAAAACTATACAGCAAAATCATGGACAACTAGACAGGGACATGGACAGCTAGACAGGGACATCATGGACAGCTAGACAGGGACATCATGGACATCTAGACAGGGACATCATGGACTACTAGACAGAGATATGGACAACTAGACAGGGACATCATGGAAAACTAGATAGAGATATGGAAAACTATACAGCAAAATCATGGACAACTAGACAGGGATATGGACCGCTAGACAGGGACATCATGGACAGCTAGACAGGGACATCATGGACATCTAGACAGGGACATCATGGACAACTAGACAGAGATATGGACAACTAGACAGACATCATGGACAACTAGATGGAGATATGGACAAAAATACAGCAAAATCATGGACAACTAGACAGGGACATGGACAGCTAGACAGGGACATCATGGACATCTATACAGGGGCATCATGGACAACTAGACAGAGATATGGACAACTAGACAGCAAAATCATGGACAACTAGACACATATATGGACAACCAGACAGGGACATCATGGACATCTAGACAGGGACATCATGGACAACTAGACAGAGATATGGACAACTAGACAGGGGAATCATGGACAACTAGACAGAGATATGGACATCTAGACAGGGATATCATGGACAACTAGAGAGATATATGGACAACTAGCCAGGGGCATCATGGACAACTAGACAGAGATATGGACATCTAGACAGGGATATCATGGACAACTAGAGAGATATATGGACAATTAGACAGGGGCATCATGGGCAACAAGACAGGAAAATCATGGACAACTAGACAGGGACATCATGGACAACTAGACAGGGACATGGACAGCTAGACAGGGATATCATGGACAACTAGAGAGATACATGGACAACTAGACTGGGACATCATGGACAACAAGACAGGAAAATCATGGGCAACTAGACAGGGACATCATGGACAAATAGACAGAGATATGGACAACCAGACAGGGACATCATGGACAACTAGACACAGATATGGACAACCAGACAGGGAAATCAGGGACATCTAGAGAAGGACATCATGGACAACTAGAGAGATATATGGACAACTAGACAGGTACATGATGGACAAATAGACAGAGATATGGACAACCAGACAGGGACATCATGGACAACTAGAAACGGATATGGACAACCAAACAGGGACATCATGGACATCTAGACAGGGACATCGTGGACAACTAGACACAGATATGGACAACCAGACAGGGACATCATGGGCAACTAGACAGGGACATCATGGACAAATAGACAGCAATATGGACAACCAGACAGGGACATCATGGACAACTAGACAGAGATATGAACAACTAGACAGGGACATCATGGACAACTAGACAGCAATGGTAAATGGTAAATGGCCTGTATTTGATATAGCGCCTTCTAGAGTCCTGAAACCCCCCAAGGCGCTTTACAACACAATCAGTCATTCACCCATTCACACACACATTCACACACTGGTGGGGATGAGCTACAATGTAGCCACAGCTGCCCTGGGGCGCACTGACAGAGGCGAGGCTGCCGAGCACTGGCGCCACCGGTCCCTCCGACCACCACCAATATGGACAACCAGACAGGGACATCATGGACAACTAGACAGAGATATGAACAACTAGACAGGGACATCATGGACAACTAGGCACAGATATGGACAACCAGACAGGGACATCATGGACAACTAGACACAGATATGGACAAGCAGACAGGGACATCATGGACAACTAGACAGGGACATCATGGACAACTAGACAGGGACATCATGGACAACTAGACAGGGACAACATGGACAACTAGAAAGGAACATCATGGGCAACTAGACAGTGACATCATGGACAACAAGACAGGGACGTCATGGACAACTAGACAGGGACATCATGGACAACTAGACAGGGACATCATGGACAACTAGAGTTTGACAGTCTGGTACATTTCTTTTCAACATGCTTTTGATGGTAAAGTTTTTGAACCC